AAATGGCCCTTTGCTTGTGCTCGGACTGTGTGGTGACTTTGTGATCCACCCTGAGCTTGCTTTGCTTTGCTTCTTCTCTTGACAGATCTTGTGACCATTGCTTGTTCTTACTATCCCCCACTTCGCCTATGGGGGTGTGTCAAACACATATGCTTAGTTATATCTAGGCTTAGTTTATGTGTTGATAGTTGTCTAGGCTATAGTGGGTTTAGCCTTAGGGGGTACAGATTTCTCTCGACATTCTACTTGTACCCCTTCCCTTTTTCCAAGTCAATCATTCTCGCCTACTACTTTAACACGGTGTTCCGGGTCTGGGGTTCTCGTGCCTTTGTTCGCGATACGTCCGCGGACAAGCTCTCCGCCCGCGCCATTCCCTGCGTCTTCCTTGGCTTTGTCCCTGACGCGCCTGGCTGGCAGTTTTACAACCCCACCTTGCGCCGTGTCCTCCCTTCTCACTTTGTCACGTTCGACGAGTCGGTTCCCTTCTACCGTCTCTTCTCCTACCGCTCTGCCCCTCCCCCGCCCCCGCCGCTCTTCCTTGCTCCCGGTCCACCTCCGGTAGACCCCCTCTAGCCCCACGGTCCTGCTCCCTCGGGAGTGTCTCAGGTCGACCCTCTCCCTGGTCCTGTGCCTGTTCAGGTAGCGGTCGTCTCAGGTGCTGATCCAGGTACTGCGTCTGGGGGTGCTGCGTCTGGGGGTGCGGAACCGGGGGGTGCGGGGTCTGAGGGTGCTGGGTCTGAGGGTTCTAAGCCTGAGGGTGTTGAGCCTGGGGGTGCTGAGTCGGAGGGTGCGGAGCCTGGGGGTGCTGAGTCGGAGGGTGCGGAGTCTGGGGGTGCTGAGCCTCGGGGTGCTGCTTCGTTTGGAGATCTTGCTGGTGCTTCACCGCGACTGTCCTCGCAGCAGCTGCGTGAGTGGCTTGTTCGGAGTGGAGCTCCCAAAGCTGGCGAGCCTGGAGACGCTGGAGCTGGAGGTGCTGCTGTTACTACTGAAGCTACAGACCCTACGGAGCCTGGAGCAGCTGGCGCCGGAGGCGCTGGAGCTGGTGTCGCTGGAGTTGGAGGCCCTGGCGCAGGAGGCGCTGGAGCTGCAGGAGCTGGAGCTGTTGACCCTGGAGCTGGAGGTGCTGGAGGCACTGTACGGCCGCGCCCGTACTTCATTCCCCTCCTTCAGCAGGTTCTTGGTGTCCCATCTTCTACTAGTCGTTCTCCTCCCTTCCTGTGTCCACCGCCTGACCAGTCGCAGCCGCCGTTACAGCCAGCCTCACCACTGCCTGTTCCCTCTCCTTACTCTGAGCAGTTTGGAGGTCTTACAGAGCGTCGTGAGCCTGCGTCTCGTCCTGTCTCGCCTGTTCGCACTGCTTGTCGCGCTCCTCGTTCGCGTCCTCCTCCTGTCCCAGGCACGCACACTATGGCACTCCGTCCTTCCTCTGTTCCACTGCGTGTTCCTGCCTGCTCCTCCTGAGTCCTCTCTTCCTGAGGTCCCTAACCCTGAGTCTGACCGCGCGCGTGCTGCCAGTCCCACTGTCGCTCGTCTCCTTTACCGCTGCTGTCACTGACCCGTCTTTTGAGTCTACTGCTGCTTCTGCTCTCGTTGCTGAGCTGCTTGAATTTGCTGCTGCCTGCCGCCTCGACTACGCCTCTGCTCTAGTTGCTGAGTCAGTCCCTGCCAGTCCTCCGTCCGTCGGGGGTGAGTGTGCTCTTGGCACGGACGTCCTTGAGGACAGGCAGGAGGACTTTGAGTGTCTTGCAGTTGCTGTACCTCGTTTCGCCTCCTTGCTGCTTGCCCCTGAGGGAGACCCGGATGCTCCTGACTTCCCGACCCCGCGCTCTTACGCAGAGGCGATTACGGGTCCTTACTCCTCTCAATGGCAGGCAGCAATGGATGCCGAGATGGCATCCTGGAAGTCCACAGGCACTTACGTCGACGAGGTTCCCCCACCTGGGGTGAACATAGTCGATGGCATGTGGATCTTCATGGTGAAGCGGCCGCCGGGTTCTCCACCTGCCTTCAAGGCGCGTTACGTTGCTCGAGGTTTCAGCCAGCGAAAGGGAGTTGACTACTTCCAGACCTTCTCCCCCACCCCGAAGATGACTACTCTTCGGGTGTTGCTGCACGTAGCTGCTCAGCGTGACTACGAGTTACACTCCCTGGACTTCAGTACAGCCTTCCTGCAGGGCAGCCTGCACGAGGAGATCTGGCTGCGCCGACCACCTGGTTTCTCTGGGTCGTTTCCTACAGGTACCCAGTGGAGCCTCCGTCGGCCAGTCTACGATCTCCACCAGGCGCCTCGCGAGTGGCACGACACACTCAGGACTACACTTGCGGCTCTTGGGTTTGCTCCTTCTACAGCAGACCCGTCGCTGTTTCTACGCACCGACACCTCGCTGCCGCCATTCTACGTCCTAGTGTACGTCGACGACCTCGTCTTTGCCACGGCTGACACTGAGGCACTGACCTTGTGAAGTCCGAGCTGCAGAAGAGACATACCTGCACTGACCTGGGTGAACTGCGCAGCTATCTTGGCCTGCAGATCACCCGGGACAGAGCACGGCGCCCCATCACACTGGCTCAGTCACACATGGTGCACCAGGTCCTTCAGCGCTTCGGCTTCCAGTACTCCTCGCCACAGCTCACTCCTCTGTCTACCAGCCACTCGCTCTCAGCTCCACCTTCGGACGAATCTGCAGAGCCTAGTGGTCCGTACCCAGAGCTTGTGGGTTGCCTCATGTACCTGATGACTTGCACACGACCTGACCTCGCGTACCCTCTCAACCTTCTGGCTTGCTACGTGGCTCCCGGTAGGCACCGAAAGGTGCACTGGGATGCTGCAAAGAGGGTACTGCGTTACCTCTGCAGTACGTCGGGCATGGGGCTTGTGCTTGGAGGACGGGGTCCAGTTGTCCTCACTGGTCACGCAGATGCCTCCTGGGTTGACGACTCAGCTACGCAGCGGTAGTCACAGGGTTACACCTTCAGCCTTGGTTCCGGCTCGGTTTCTTGGCGGTCTACCCGCTCGTCTTCAGTTCTCAGCTCCAGTTGTGAGGCTGAGATCTACGCCGGAGCCATGGCTGCTCAGGAGCTACGCTGGCTCACCTACTTGCTGACCGACTTGGGAGAGCAGCCTCGTTCACCTCCAGTCCTTGTTGAAATGTATTTGTATACGTTCATATAAATGCCTATAGTAGCCTAGTGTAGTTATCTTAGTTTCCTGCTAGGTGGTGTACCATTTGCCTAATTCCTTGCCTATATCTTGTATGCCCTCTACTATTGAACCCTTTTTTGGCTTGCACTTTTCCTCTCGTCACTCTCGCCTAGGTCAAACCCTAGGCCCCTAAACTATTATGTTTGACAGTCCTGTACGTAGACAACAAGGCCATGATAGCCTTGTGTCAGGAGCACAGCCTGGAGCACAGAACGAAGCACATCGCTCTGCGATACTTCCTTGCTCAAGAGTTGCAGCAGCGTGGTCAGCTTCGCCTTGCGTACGTGGCCACTCGGGCCAACACTGCTGATGTCTTCACCAAGGCACTTCCGCCTGGTGATCATCAGCGCTTTGTTACTGTGTTAGGCCTTGTGACTACTTTTCCTCACTTACTTACTGCCTGACTCTGCCTGTACTGTGATATATATATATACCTGCATGCTTGCACTTGCTAGAGTATGATCACTGTATTGTTTGTTCTCTTTATATAACTCTGCATGTGAACGGCCTTGTGGCCCTTTGCTTGTGCTCGGACTGTGTGGTGACTTTGTGATCCACCCTGAGCTTACTTTGCTTTGCTTCTTCTCTTGACTGGTCTTGTGACCATTGCTTGCTCTTGCTATCCCCCACTTCGCCTATGGGGGTGTGTCAAACATATGTGTTTATGTGTTTACAGTTATCTAGGCTATAGTGGGTTTAGCCTTAGGGGGTACACAATCTCTCTCGACATTGTACTTGTACCCTTCCTTGCTTCCTAGTAAATCATTCTCTCATCATTCTCGCTACTATCTAACAGGAGTCGCATAGGCCTAAACCTCAACGCATTTATTTAAATAAATTGGGCGAAGCCCCTATTTTAAATCTTAGATTATGGGGAGCATTATAGCATGAGAATTTGGAAAATATGCAAGTACATTGTACCGTATCATGTGTAACATATCTACGGTATACATATCTATTAAGATGTGTTTTTGTCAGAATCCCAACCACTAGACCACTGGGATAAAAGGGCTTGTTTCAGTAGCGGGTCAGAGTGCGCCCATAACCCCCCAGGCAAACGCGCCTGTAACCCCCCCTAGGATCGATCGGGGATCTCACAGTGCAGCTCTACTGACACCCCCCCACACTGGGAGGCCCAGGACTGAGCACAGTGGCAACGGCCTACATGTGCATACACCGGGATTCGAACCCGAGACCGCTCTGATACCATGTCAGAATCCCAACCACTAGACCACTGGGATAAAAGGGCTTGTTTCAGTAGCGGGTCAGTGCGCCCATAACCCCCCAGGCAAACGCGCCTGTAACCCCCCCTAGGATCGATCGGGGATCTCACAGTGCAGCTCTACTGACAGTTTTCGCATAACAATCTTGACAACAAATACACCCTGGCCCAGAACCAGATTTATACAGAGTCGAATCATGTATCGGAAGCACACAATCCAACAAAAATTGAGAGTCGAGGCGCGAAAATAAAAAATTTCACTTCGAGCTGCGTTCAGAAGGAATGAACAGCGAGGATTCTCGCTGAAAACCACCTGATTTGCTCCCGTGAAATTTCACAGGCGAAACGTGGGCGAATTTCAGAGTCCGAAATTTCAGTCGGGGATTTGAGGGTGTTTGTGCCTGAAAGTTGGACCCGAACCCCTGCGCACACAAACCAAAAAAACCGGGAACTTTGTGATGGTGTGGGAAAATAATCGCTTACTTGAAAATGGCGAGGTGGAAGCGGCCGACGAAGATTTCCTGATCCGCGGAGCAGTTGGCCAATCACGCGCCAACGTCGGCCGTCAGATTCCCGATGGCTGTCAGGTTAAGTGGAGGACCGTGCGGCTCCCCGCCAGGCGGCCCCGGAGGCCCGCCAGATGCGCCACCGGGCCCACTGGACCCTCCAGGGCCTCCGTGCGGCCCCCCGGGCCCCTGGCCGCCGGGACGGCTTCCGCCAGGCGGACCACGCTGCGCCAAGGCGGAAGTGGCTGCGAGGAGGAGAATGCACGCAAGGAAAAGCCTGGCGACAGCCATGGCTGTGGGTGATAGGAAAACTAGGTGTGAGTTCTAGTTGGAGCTTGGAAGAGCTGTGCACGAGCTGATGTATGAATCGGGATTCTAGAGCTGGGGGCATTGAATATCTGCAACGCAGTCAATATTTGGGTCAGCGCAAGTGCTAAGACACAGAAACTGCGTCAACGTGCAATTCAGCAGGACACGCTACAGTTTGTCCCAGAACAACCACCACGACCAAGAAACAGAACACTCACTTATACATGCTAGGAATGATGGTTGAGCACAAACTGGTGCGCTTCTCAGGGCAAAACCATCTGGTTGCCCAGACAATGTTTCTCCGAGTCTCATCATTTACAAAATACATTGTGAGAAAGATTGACGAGAGAAATAAGTGAGAAAGGAATGATTGCACTAGCAAGCAGTTGGATACATATAACAAACCCTAACAGGGTTGTACTCACTACAGAGTACCCCACTACAGACTAGAGAAACATAATGTTCTGACACACCCCCATAGTCAAAGTGGGGTATGATCAGCACAAGAAGCAAGGCAAAGCAAGCTCAGGGTGGATCACAATGTCACCACACATTCTGAGCACAAGTACAAGAAGTAACAGTTTAAAGTTCACAATAAATAAGCAAAGCTAGAGGCTATCACAGAGGGCAAGTGAGGAGGAGGAGGCTGGACTAATAGGAGAGGAGAGAGGAGGCAACGGCGGAAGCTGCAGACACACGGGCAACAGGAGCGGCGTGCACTGTGGCTACCGGAGGCGCACCTCCGGACTACAGGAGTAACTGGCTCCGCGGCTAAGACGAGCGGCAGGAGCAACGGACCCACGGGCGACTGGCGCAGCGGCATCACTGGGCTACCGGAAGCGCACCTCCGGACTACTGGCACTGCTAGCAACACGACGGCTACCTCCACCCAACCTCCCTCTACTGCCGCACCCCCCATTCACACACCCCCTGCTGCACCCCTAGGTTCACTCACACTCCACCCCCTAGCACCACTCCGTCGACTCACACACACCCACCCCCCTCAGCGGCAGCTGCAGTAGTGGGAGACGGAGTAGGAGGAGGAGCAGGGGATGCCACACACCCGCCACCCCCATACCCTCCCCCACTGCTGCACCTGCAGCAGGGGATGGAGGAGAAGAGGGGGGGGGGGGGTGCTGTGCATGGCGCGTGCAGAGGGCAGCAGGGCGCACGGGGCGCACAGGGCAGCAGGGCAGCAGGGCGCGCGGGGCGCACAGGGCTGCAGGGCGCGCGGGGCGCACAGGGCAGCAGGGCAGCAGGGCGCACGGGGCGCACAGGGCAGCAGGGCGCGCGGGGCGCAGCAGGGCTGGCGGGTCGGCCACACCCGCCACCCCCATACCCTCCCCCACTGCTGCACCCGCAGCAGAGAGATGGGGGGGGGGGCAGGCAGGTGCTGCAGGTCCCCTCCCCCCACTGCCGCATCCGCTCCAGGGGGATGGCAGATCCCCTCCCCCCCACTGCTGCACCCGAGGGAGAGGAGAAAAGGGCGGAGAGGAGGGGGGGGGGGGGGGGGGGGGGGGGCTGGTGCCGCAGAGCCCCTCCCCCCCACTGCTGCACCCGCAGCAGGGGGGAGGTAGGAGAAGGGGCGGGGGGGGGGGGGCGGGGGGGGGGGGGGGGGCGGGGGGGGGGGGGGGGCAGGCAGGTGCTGCAGGTCCCCTCCCCCCACTGCCGCATCCGCTCCAGGGGGATGGCAGATCCCCTCCCCCCCACTGCTGCACCCGCAGCAGGGGGAGGGAGAGGAGAAAAGGGCGGAGAGGAGGGGGTCCAGGGGCGGCTGCTCCAGGGGCCAGGGGCGGCTGCTGAGGTCCAGGAGCGGCTGCACCAGGGGCGGCTGCTCCAGGGGCGGCTGCTCCAGGGGCGGCTGCTCCAGGTCCAGGGGCGGCTGCTCCAGGGGCGGCTGCACCAGGGGCGGCTGCTCCAGGGGCGGCTGCTCCATGGGCCAGGGGCGGCTGCTCCGGGTCCAGGGGCAGCTGCTCCAGGGGCGGCTGCACCAGGGGCGGCTGCTCCGACGCGCAGCCCCCCCCAGGTCGCCCCTCCCGTCGCCTGGTGAGGCGACCTGAGGGGGGGGGGAGGGAGGAGGGGGGGGGGGGGGGGGCAGCATGCGGCCCCCCCCAGGTCGCCCCTCCCGTCGCCTTACGAGGCGACCTGGGGGGGGGGGGGGCGCGCGCGGCCGCCCCCAGGTCGCCACGTAAGGCGACGGGAAAGGGGGGGGGGGGCGGTGCGCGGGCCCCCGGTGCGCCGGTGCAGGCACGAGGGGGGCGGGGCCTGGGCAGGGTCGGGGCATGGCAGGGGCAGGGCCGCGATAGGGCCGCGACAGGGTCGGGGCAGGGCCGTGACAGGCTCGGGACATGGGGCGGCGCCGGGCGACGGGGCCGATACGGGGGGGGCCGCGACGGGGGCCTGCGACAGGGGGCCTCGACGGTGGGCCGCGACGAGGGGCCGCGACAGGGTCGGGACAGGGCCGGGGTCGGGGCAGGTCCGGGACGGGGCCGCGACAGGGTCGGGGCAGGTCCGGGACCGGGGCAGGTCCGGGACGGGGCCGCGACAGGGTCGGGGCAGGTCCGGGACAGGCCGCGAAGGGGCCGCGACGGGCCTAAAGGGCCGCGAAGGGGCCGCTACAGGTCGTGAAGGGGGCCGCGAAGGGGCCTAACTGGCCGCGAAGGGGCCGCGACGGAGGCCTAACGGGCCGAGAAAAAGGGGGCCGCGACGGGCCTAACGGGCCGCGAAGGGGGCCGCGACGGGTCGTAAAGGGGGCCGCGAAGGGGCCTAACGGGCCGCGAAGGGGCCGCGACGGGGGCCGCGACGGGCCGCGAAAGAGGCCGCGACGGGCCTAACGGGCCGCGAAGGGGGCCTAACGGGCCGCGAAGGGGCCTAACGGGCCGCGAAGGGGCCGCGACGGGGGCCTAAGGGGCCGCGAAAGGGGCCGCGACGGGCCTAATGGGCCGCGAAGGGGGGGCCGCGAAGGGGCCTAACGGGCCACGAAAGGGGACGCGACGGGGGCCTAACGGGCCGCTAAGGATCGTTAAGCGCAGGCGCGACTCGCGCCTCGGGTAGGAAAAAAAAATTAGTGTAGTCGTGGTGGGCCCTTAGGAAGGATCGATATATGCTCTGATACCATGTGAGAAAGATTGACGAGAGAAATAAGTGAGAAAGGAATGATTGCACTAGCAAGCAGTTGGATACATATAACAAACCCTAATAGGGTTGTACTCACTACAGAGTACCCCACTGCAGACTAGAGAAACATAATGTTCTGACATACATCACACAATCCCTCTACAGCACATATTTTTATAGCAATTTCCTGAGCATTGAAGTGCCAACATTCCGCTTACTACAGTAACTGCAACACTTGGTTGATCACGTAATTGTCAGAATGTATTATTCTTATATAATTGCATTGCTAGCTAGTAGTGAAGTATCACCTGTCAGTAGATCTGCACTGTGGATGCCTGATTGATCCTAGGGGGGTTACAGGCGCGTTCGCCTGGGGGGTTATGGGCGCACTCACCCGCTACACAAACAAGCCCTTTTATCCCAATGGTCTAGTGGTTGGGATTCTGACATGGTATCAGAGCGGTCTCGGGTTCGAATCCCGGTGTATGCACATGTAGGCCGTTGCCGCTGTGCTCAGTCCTGGGCCTCCCAGTGTGGGGGGGTGTCAGTAGATCTGCACTGTGGATGCCCGATTGATCCTAGGGGGGTTACAAGCGCGTTCGCCTGGGGGGTTATGGGCGCACTCACCCGCTACACAAACAAGCCCTTTTATCCCAATGGTCTAGTGGTTGGGATTCTGACATCACCCTATCTTGTCGTTAGGTGAACTACCTCCCTTCACCACCTCCCCTTTCGTATAACTTGTACTCCTAACGTTATTGCAACCCTCTTCTCTTGGCCAACTCTCTCTTCCCGAAACCCTAGCCTCGTAAGCTACTATCTTCACATGGTTTCAGAGCACGTTCGATCCTGGCCCCACTGTTAGTCTTCTGTCATAATAATTTGTGCAGGAATGATGAGTGACTAGCAACAAGGAGATACAAGTATGAAACCCTAACTGGGGTTGTACCCTATACTGAGCACCTCACTGTAGCCTAGCAGAACTAGGAACATACAAATATGTTTTGACACACCCCCTTAGGCAAAGTGAGGGACACCCATCACAACAAACGGTAACAAGACCATTCAGGCAAGAGAACAAAGCAATGCAAAGCCCAGGGTGGATCTTAAGATCACCACTTATTCTCAGCACAAGCAAGTGGCCACAAGGCCAGTTCACATGCAGAGTGATAATAGCAAGGCACTACATCGATCACAACCTAGCAAGAGTAAACATGCAGGTATAAATATAGATATCAGTATAAAAAAAGTGCAAGATCAAGAGACAAGCAAGTGAGGTAGAACAGGCAGAAGCCCAAGAGCAGTGCAAAAACGCTGAAGATCACCAGACCCGAGGGCCTTGGTGAAGACATCAGCAGTGTTGACCCAAGAGGCCACGTAAGAAAGGCAAAGCTAACCACGCTGTTGCAGCTCTCGAGCAAGAAAGTAGCGAAGAGCAATGTGCTTCGTTCTGTGCTCCAGTCTCTGCTCCCGACACATGGCAAGCATGGCCTTGTTGTCGATGTACAGAACTGGAGGAGAACGAGGCCGCTCCCCCAAGTCGGCCAGCATGTAGGTAAGCCAGCGTAGCTCCTGTGCAGCCATAGCCCCAGCGTAGATCTCGGCCTCACAGCTGGAACCAAGCACAGAAGAAGAATGAGTGGACCTCCACGAGACAGAACCAGAGCCAAGACTGAAGGTGTAACCCTGTGACGAACGCTGAGTCGCCCGGTCGTCGGCCCAAGAAGAGTCGGAGTGTCCTGTGAGTACCACTGAACCCCGTCCTCCAAGCGCAAGTCCCATGCCCGATGTACTGCACAAGTAACGCAGTACCCTCTTCGCAACATCCCAATGCACCTTTCGGTGTCTACCGGGAGCCACGTAGTGAGCCAGGAGGCTGAGAGAGTACGCGAGGTCAGGTCGTGTGCATGTCATCAGGTACATGAGGCAACCCACAAGCTCTGGATACGGACCAGTCGGCTCTACGGACTCGTCCGAAGGTGGAGCTGAGAGCGAATGGCCAGTAGGCAGAGGAGTGGGCTGTGGCGAGGAGTATCGGAAGCCAAAGTGCTGAAGGACCTGGTGCACCATGTGTGACTGAGTCGGGGTGATGGTGCGCCGTGCTCTGTCCCGTGTGATCTGCAAGCCAAGATAGCTACGCAGCTCACCCAGGTCAGTGCAGGTGTGTCTCTCCTGCAGCTCCACCTTCACTAGGGCCAGCGCCTCAGTGTCAGCAGTAGCAAAAACCAAGTCGTCGACGTACACAAGAATGTAGAACGACGGCAGGGTAGTGTCGGTGCGTAGAAACAACGACGGGTCAACAGAGGAAGGAGCAAACCCAAGAGCCACAAGTGTCGTCTCAGTGTATCGTGCCACTCGCGGGGCGCCTGACGGAGACTGTAGATTGGCCGCCGGAGGCTCCATTGGGTACCTGCAGGAAACGACCCAGTGAAGCCAGGTGCCAGGGGGGGACTGGTACCAGGAAGAGAGGTGCTAGGGGGACCGGGTGGGACGCGTGCAGTTGTAGCCTGTAGAAACAGACCGACTCGTCAAAGGTGACGTCCTAGGAGGAGAACACGTGACGCGATCGAGGGTGGTAAAACTGCCACGGCAGGGCGTCGGTGGGGAAGCCCAGGAAGTCGCAGCGAACAGTACGAGGAGAGAGCTTGCTTGCGGTGGTATTGCGAACAAGGGAGAGCGCGCCCCAGACCCGAAACGCCGACTCATCGCCAACCTCTCCCGTCCAACGGAGTGTGGGCGAGGTCTCTGGCAAAGAGACACGGGGCCAAAGATTGAGCTGATGTGCGGCGTATCGGACCGCAAACGGCCACAAAAAATGGAGAGCAACCGCATGGATGATGGAGGTGCGAGCAACCTCCATCACCAAGCCAATGCGGCGCTCTGCAATCACATTCTGCTGTGGAGAGGTGGGAAGCGTGAACGTATGGCGGATGCCCTGGTCTCGACAGAACTCCGCAAGGAGGCCAGAAGAGAACTCACCGCCCCTGTCAGAGTACAGACGCAGGACTGGAAGGTCCCGCCTAAACCGCTCGCGTAGTTGGTGACGAGCAGCACATATCCAGGGAATCAAAACACTAGTGACGCCCGCCTTGCTGCGCAAGGGGAAGACCGTGGCGTAGTGCAAGTAGTCGTCAATGACCAGCAGGAATTAGCGCTCCTGATCCGTCCCACTGACGTGGGCTGGGCCCCACATGTCCATGTGGAGAGTCTGCAGAGGAGCGGTGGTCGGAGGAAACTCGGAGGAGTGAGGAGCAGCGCCCTGCCGCCCCTCGACGCAAGGAAGGCACGGCGGGGCAAGCGAGCGCGGTAGGGGGGGGAGGGACCTGGGGAGGCCAGAGACAAGGAGATGGGAGTGCATGCTGTGCAGACGCTGCTGAGAAGGGTGACCAAGTCGGTGGTGCCGTAGCTGAGTCTGGTGCATGAGTACTCTGCACGAGCAAGACGCAGCTAACTAGCCCGACGCAGTCACAGGACCTGACGCAGCCACCTGACTCGACGCAGCTACCGGACCTGACGCAGCTACCTGTGCAGACGCAGTGGTCAGTGTGTACAGGCCAGACCCGGGTCTCCGAGTGAACGTGGCGAGGTGGGCGCCAGTGCGTGATTCCATACAGATCGCCACAAACTCACCCCCAAGAGTAGTCACAGTGACAAACTGGTCCTGGAGGACAGCATTACTCACCATG